ATTTCCCTTAACCAGGAAATTAACGTTCTTAGAATTGACAGACAGTTGACCCTGAGAGGTCAGCTAAATATCTACAGCAGATCTAAATATTTATAATTAATTATAACTAATTATGATTAATTATTCATATTTCCCCTTTGAGCTGATTCGCTACAGCATATACCCACTTCTTTATCAGTTGGCTTTGTGTATACCCACTTCTAAATCCCCTCTGATGCGCATCATTCATTAGTGTCCTTCTTTAGGCAAAATCATGACAGTCCACACCACATGAATAGCTAATCCAATCGCTTGTAAAAAAAACAAATATTCCCTAAAAACACCCAGTGATGCGGTCAGGACCGTGGCGCCGGCTTCCTTTGAAATATGTTTGATGATTGCGCCTGCGCCCTCGCCCGCTCCGTCAGTCAGAGAGGATGCCGATTGCCGACAGTGACAGATATGCTGCTTCTTCATGCACGAGAGCATGTCAGGGGATGCGCGCAGAGTGGTAAAATAATAGTTAATTATTGATTACTAATTTGAATCAGTACATTACAACGAAAACAATAGCTTAAAAACCAGTTATGTGAGCGGAGCGCGGAGTGGAGCGGTGTGATTTTGAATGGAGCGAGGAGCGGATTTTTTAAAAGTCGGAGTGTCATGGTTTTCATTCACTCCAAGAGCGCTCCACCACCACTCCATCACGAGTACAATTCATGCCAACGGCCTGTAATATAACTGCACATTTAGCAAGAATTCACATTAAACATATTTAGCTAGCTTGATAGAGAAGGATCACTCGAATCAGAAAGAATGTGAAGGCTATGTTGACGGCAATGGATATAGCGGATATACGTTATGAACAGAACTGTGATATTTCAAACATACTGAAACTTTGTTTCTGGTGTTTCTGAAAGTGGAGCGGGAGCGGATAATGGTGAACCCTGAGCGGAGTGATTATTAAATGCTCGGAGCGCGGAGGGGAAATTGTTGACGCTCCACTCGATCCGCTCACATACTCTGCCGGACACCGCTACACAAATGTGACTTTTTGTTAATGACTGTACTCCTAAAGGATTTAACACAGAGTAACAGCTCACTACCAGTTACAAAATACATGTAACAGTCTTGTCACAGGCTTTCTATAATTTCTTATAAATTTGAATCAGTACATTACAACGAAAACAATAGGTTAAAAACCGGTAAACTCCTGTAAACTTTTCAGTCCGAGGATCCAGTAAACGAATGCATTCAAACAGTAAATTCAAAACAAATCTAATACAGAGAAAACCCAACCGATTTCATCAGAGATTGTGGAGAGTCGAGTCCAGATGTCAGTAAATTATTATTTTCAGCGTGTATTTGGTTTAAAAGCACGAGTGTTATACTGGATGGTGACTGAAGGTGTTTTAGATTATGTGCTGGTCTAGTTATTCTGAATGGATCGTATAGTAGCATGTACCGCAAGAGCA